GGATATAACTCGCTCACACAGAGGACCTATCCACGTCATCATTTACCCAGAATGCTTTGTGTGTAAATAAAATGGATCCGTCCGTGTTAAAATATATTTTTAAAAATTTACAAAACTAAACACAGTATTTTTACAGTCTTTATTTTAGAGTTAAAATATATGTTTATCAAATGCAGTCTGTTACAACTAATCAAGGATCCCTTTAACAAAGTACACAATAATTGCTAAATTATTATTTTTTTGTTCTAAATCTATTAAAGCATAACATAACTCTGGAAGAGACATTTCTGTTAGAGTACATCAAATACAACATCCCAGGGGTGTTAAATGTAGGTTTTAGAGAGTATGTGTCAGGCTGTTTGCAAACAAACGTCCACCAAGCGTAACCTTGTTCATTGTTATTGTCCATGGGTGGCATATTTCATCCTGCAGAAGATGATTTAGTGGAATGTGTCCTCCCTGTGAAAACTAATCAGCCTCTGAGTCGGTTACATCATCTGTGAGGTCACTATAGGCGCCTGCAAAATGGAGCATGTGGAACAGCTGCTCCTCCATTTCTTAAATGTGGGGGGTGCAAACTGACAGTACATTTTCTCTCACATTTTTTGACGTAATCACCATTAGAATCAACAAACACATGCAAACTAAAAAGTTACAAACAAAAAAAGAACCCCCCCCCCTTCAGCTATGAGTTGGTTCAGTCCAAATCAGTTATGCCAGTAGGAAAAAATGAAACAACAAAGCACTTTAAAGTGTTTTGTGCTATATCTATTTTTTCTGACTAAAGCTTTGAGTSCTATCACTATTTAGGAGCACAAGATATCCACAAGTTCATAAAAAGTGATAATTGACCATAATGTCTGTAAGATGCTGCCTTTATCTCGGATGTTTCTTAACAAGGACTCCACCCGCAAGCAGCCAGATGCTTTGCTTAAACCCCAAAGACAGAATTAAAAAATAATAGAAGCTGTCCCCAAAAAAACAGTTTGCACCTCACCTGAACTTACCTGAATCAACCCTGAACTCACCTGGGTCCTCAGAGCTGCTGGCMGGTTTCACGACTGGATGGATGCTGCTAAAGAAGCAGACAGCCGCTTCAAGAAGCAAAGTGTTGTTGATTTATTTACAAATGTTCTTAGATATGACAAACTAAAGGATATTTGCGAGAGATGCTTTTTGTTTTTGGTTGCTCAGATCAGCACGTCTCCAGAGGAATGCTGGAATCAGTCTTCAGCTTGTATGAGTGTAGCATAATAATTTAACAGGGGCTCATCGGCCATCTGTCAGACTCTTTACTGTGGTTCTAATCCTGCCATGATTGGTCACTCAGAATTCTGCTCCGTTTATATTATCCTTGTGTTACCATCCTTAAATTTTCTCTTCTTGAAGGAAAAACAAATCTACAGATTAAGCAACCTAAACACAGTTTTAGATTATAAATGATTTATGATTGTGATCTTTGTCTTTAAGCCTTTTTTAAAAATTTTGCTGACAAACTACTGAAGCTTCGTACGTCTTTATTTCTATGATGGAGTATTAGGGCCATACAGCAAGATTTTGTATTTATTTATTACAAGAATAAAGTAATAAAATTACAATATTAAAGTTGTAACATTACAAGAATAAAGTTGTAATATTACGTGAATAAAAGTCGTAAATTATGAGAATGAAAGTTGTAATATTACGAGAATAAAGGTGGTAATATTACGAGAATAAAGGTGGTAATATTACGAGAATAAAGGTGGTAATATTACGAGAATAAAGGTGGTAATATTACGAGATAAAAGTAATAAAATTACAACATTAAAGTTGCAACATTACAAGAGTAAAGTCATAATATTACGTGAATAAAAGTCGTCGTAAATTACGAGAATAAAATTTGTAATATTACGAGAATAAAGGTGGTAATACTGTATTACGAGAATAAAGTAATAAAATAACATTAAAGTTGTAACATTACAAGAATAAAGTCGAATGAGAATAAAGTCAATATTACGTGAACAAGTTGTAAATTACAAGAATAAAAGTCATATTACGAGAATAACGGTGGTAATATTACGAGAATAAAGTCATAATATAACCTTTACATGCAAAAGCAGTTTTATCACTTCAATAAAATGAGAAATGTTGAGCTACTTGTGAAGTAGTTCTTAAATATCTGTTAAAAGAAATAATGTTTTTGCACATTAGCATCAGTAGCAGGACTTAGAAACGATAACGCAAACAATTATAAACTGAAGCCATTAATGGATGCATTGTTAGATTTAGTCGTCACCTAATTTGGATGAAAGCATACAGTATTACACTAACAGTGACCCATAATTTATTGCAAACTAGCTACTTTATAAACACAGAGACATGCATGGTTGTTCAYAGAAGGTGTGAGGAAAATGACGAGGGAATGAATAAAAATCAGGAACGGAAAATGGACACGTTACGTTGTCATGATTATGACTTTATTCTCGTAATATTATGACTTTAATCTCGTAAATCCCCAAGGGAAAGTATTTAAAGAAAAAGAATCTCATAGTGTGGCTCTAATACTCCGTCGAAGTTTTCTGTCCAGTGCAACAGGTTTATTGTTTGGATGTTTTTGCTTTAGAAATGCTGAATCCCATTTTGTTTTTAGATTTTGTTCTCATTATTTTGCTTCAAAAATGTCAGATGTAAATACATTTCACCTAATTTGTAAAGGAAGAGTTAAAACATCTAAAGRATAACTTTGTCTTTTGTGTCGTTACCCACACCAACTTAATTGATCTTTTTTTATGCCTGCAGGTTGTAACGTCACCATTCCCTCTGAGGTGATCATACTGAACTCTATTGTGCTCCCACACAAAGACCTGAACCGCGGCTTCAAAAACCAGATTATTCTTTAGTTCATGCCACTTCGGCCTCTTTGACACCAATGATGAAGAACTCTGCTGGCTCTGTTTGAAAGTTACTGTACATAAGATGTCCAAAAATGATATAAAGCCTTGATTAAATAGTTTTGAAAGATAAATTTTATATATTTGTCCTCAAGCCTTGATGCAACACTGGGCTTGAACAACATTAGAAGGAGGCCGATCATGCATGATGATTCACCTTGAGAAGTGCTGTCATGCCAGAGGTTTTTATTGGTTTTTTTATCAACTTAACCCAACTGTAAAATGACTTGAGACACGAGCGTTTGCAGACAGCTGTGTTCTGCTTCTGAAGGTCATCTCCACTTGTTACTTAAACATGAGAAGAGTAATTATTGAAAAAAATAAAAACCAAAACATGACTGCTGGTAATTTTCAGGCGTGATTATTCCTGCCCGGCTTTGATTGAAAGCTTTTCTGTCGCTTCGTTGTTAGTCTCATAAAACTGAATGCCATCAAAATAAATCAGCAGGTTTAGATTTAGCCTGCAATCAAGTAATGTTGCCTTTTTAAAATGTGAACTTACTCAGCCCCCCACCTCCCAAGGACCTGCATACCTAAATTGTGCATTTGCAATCACTGGAGAAGTCGTTTCAATTTATTTATACAGCTTCCTAACATTTACTTATTAAACCCTCGAGCACTCCTGATCACTTCAGTACTTTTGTTTAAATTAKTGCAACAAGAGCGTCTATTAAGGAGGGATGTTAATTGTAATACTGGAACAGCTGCATGCCATGTTTTATTCATGTCTCTCCTTGGCATAATGTACATTTTGGTCGGCGTTTGTTTGGGATTTATAATTGTAACTTTGTGGATTCAGTGCCGGATCTCGCCTTGCGGCCCTCGTCACTGCATTTTCATCCATTTTTTTTGATACGTTTCCACAAGAACAGGGCAAAAACATGAATGCTCTTAAAATTAAAAGGCAATTGTAAATGTAATTAGATCAAATGGACTTCTCGCCATTGATGTGCAAAAAGAGCTGCTTATAGTGGGAGTAGTTCCAAATGTATTCACAGATCTTTTATCGGGTTGCTAAAAAAAACAAAAAAAAAATTGCGGAGAATTGCGTTTTTGTTTTCTTGGGGAAACTTTGTGTTCACCTCTGAGCAGAAAGTTCACAAACGAACTGAGAAGAATGAAATTATTAAATAAAAAATATGAGCTTTGGGAGGGTAGATGGAGGTATTATAATAATTTATGGCTGCTGCATCTTCAGCCACCAACCTGCTGTTTTACATCATATTAAAGCTACACACAGATAGTTTAAATTCATGCTCTTACTATGAAATGAAGACGGTTTCCTATTCTCCATCTTGTACCCAGAATGCATTGCTTCAGTTCTCCAATAAACTTTTTAAAACTACTAATATATTACATGATTTCTTATCAAAATCCTATCATAAACATAAGAAAATGACCAGGAAGCAGCAGAACTATCAATCCACAAAATGTTTTTTTTTAACATGAGCCAAAAGTGTGTTTCAACAAATCACCTCCCCAAACACAACTAACTTCTTAAGTCGGCAGTCTAACATTGCAGGAAAGGAAAACTGTTGGTGTCACATTACAAAATATAAAAGTTGTGCCACAAATGGCGGGAGGGGGTCTTAAAGTTTTGGCGACTAAGACAATTTTTTTTAGGTTTTGTTGCTTGTATCTTTTGAAAACTACAAGTTGTAGCCTAGTCTTTTTTTTATCCAATAAGGTCATCTTATGCCTCATCTTCATTATTATTTTTAAATTAGTATCATTTACAGCAACATTTAATGCCTCCATAAAACTGCTGCAAAAGTAGAGCTTGATTAGATATTAACTTAGTTCCATTAAAACAACACTTTGTGTTTTATAGAAAGTACAAATGTACGCCACTGAGCCAAACAAAGTACCTCTCTTTCCCCAGATGCTCTCCTAGGTGTCTTCTGTGAAGTCTTTCCTCAGACATCATGGAAAGAAGATCAAACGCTGCACGCTGCCTCGGCTGCAGTGCTTCTGTAAGAAAGTGGATCAAGGATTTGATTGTTTAAATGTTTTTCATGCGAAATTCGTATAACCGCACTGCTGTAAATGTTTTCCGTTGTAGGTTTCCTTAAAGTGGTTTTAAATCCTTAATTAGGCGTCTGCTTCAACACAAGTTTGTAAAAAACAAATATACTTTGATAGTGTTTTGTTTTATTTAATTAAATAAAGAAATTAGTTTTACGTACATACAATTGTAAGCAAATAAGATGCACATTAACTTACATTAGCTCTAAACAGAACCAAATATGAGAACTGAACTGTGGGTAATGTGGGGCTTCAACAACAAAAAAGTGGTTCTGGTGCATTTATTTAAATTTATTTAAAAAGTCTGAACAATTGCTCAAACTTATTATTACAAGAATGTTGGCATTGCAATGTAAAATTTGACAAACTTTCATATTTGAACAGAACAAATTAAAAGACGATAAATTTCAACATATGTTTTAAGTAAGTGATCTTATCATTACAGCTGTTTGGTCCAGAACAGTCAAAAAACTCTTGTATTTTAGTGGATAACAAAAAGTGTCTGCAGCTGATAAAAACTGAAACTAAACCTTGTTTTTTTATTTGCTCCCAGCCACGTGTCTGCAGATTGACTTTTCCACTTGAGAAGTTAGCATGTCTGGACTCTGAATGGATGATAAGAACGACTAACAAAAGCTTTAAAAAGTGACAAATGAGCTGTCGGGAAGAAACTGACATCTCCCACTGCTCAAATTCACAAGGTACAGAGAACGGAGAAAAAAAAAAACGTTACTGTCATGCATCACCAGTAAAAGCTAATCTTTTGCTAAACTGCACTTTGAAGCATCCAAACGTGCCRGTCCTCCTCAGATGTGTAAAGCAGGTGTTTCTGATATCCAGATGTGATGAAACTAACGTTGCTGCTTTTTACGAATTTTATTTCAACTCAGTTATTCTCACAGTTAATAAAGTTATATTTGTTACAAATATAATAACGTAACGCTATGAACATAAGGCCTTGATTATTTTATTGTCTTTGAAATAAAATACCTAACATCACATATTTCCAAGATTTTACTGGACTATGAAAGTAGCTAATTATAATTTTGGAAGAAAAAAAATCCCCAGTAGGATTTCAAAAATAATGTGTTTTTACACCACTTGTAAAACCTTTGTAAACCTTGGCAAATTCATGACAGAGAGTCTTTAGTCCGAATCCTTGGTCTGAAAACTGTATTAGTTCCACTTCTCAGCAGACTGAACCTGCCTGAACTCCTCTTCTCTCTCTGGAAAAAAACCTCTTTAGACTGAGATTAAACACATCGCCTGAAATGAAGAGGAACTCAGTAAAAACGCCCCCCCCCCACTCCCACACACACACACACACACACACACACACCCACACCAATAAAAAAAAAAAAAAAAAAAAAATTATCAGTTCCTCCTTGCATCACAAAATGGAGCAATAAATGTGGAAACTGTGCTGCATTTTATCAAGTTGACATCAAGAAAGAGAGTAGAAACCAGGAAGCTAAACACTGGRAAAAAAAATGGATGACACTTTGCATCATTTCTACAGTATTTTGATGTGCCAACACTTGTGGCCCTAATTAACCGATGGAGACTTCTAAAATATAATTGGGGAAATAATTGGAGCAACAGACCAGAAATTRGACACAGCTGCTGGGAAGCCAGCAGAGCACCAGTGTCTGGGTCTGTCCTCGGGTCAAGAAACGCTCAGAAAGTTCACTTTTCTGTTTGTAGTGTGCAGCTTTGAAATCTAAAATCACAGATGAAGAACAAAAAAAAAAAGACATCTGTTAACTTCTGGTCTCCTGTCAATGAACTCCTTTTAGGTTGCTTTGCTTTTATTAAAGAAAATATTTACGGATATTTGGTTGCACCTAAAAAATACCTTCATATTTGTTGCAGACATTAGGTGTGTGAGCAATATGACTGGATGATTTAAATTTGACTAAATGTTAATGCAAACTGGTACATACTGAGTACTTAATAGTTACAAATTATGTATCTACTGGGATATGGTTGTATTATGAAAAGAATTGTTACCCTGCACTTACCGGGTACTTGTAATGTACCATGTAAGCATTAGGGATGTACCTGGTAAGTACCTAACTGGAATTTTACCAAATACAAGTACCAGAGTGACGAGTGACTTCATAAGACTGCCTGGYCCCCATAGATACAAGGTGTAAAACCACATACCTTACAGAATACATATTAGTATGTAGGTATGTATCRGKCTGCTTTATGTATTGCTACCATCTTTGCTTTTTCAACAACACATTGGATTGTGTATATTTTGATGCTCAAAATCAATCTTTAGAATGATACAAAAACATGAGGGTATACATATATGTCCAGGTAACCACAGAGACTTTGGAGAGAAGAAGAGCAACGCAGCCATGCAGCCAAGCAAAGCCTGAATAAAACGGGGCTGGAAAGCTCCTTGATTTATRCAGTTAGGTAGATGGACCAAATGTATCCTCCTGCAGTATTTATTAGACATGCGGACCATCACTCTGCTTTCTGAATGCAAAAGTGGAGGGTGGACAGAGCGCTTCGCATAACATTGCATAATTCAAGGCTGTGACATACTAATGGAGGATGGCAATGTGATTATTTGCATCATTTCCATAAGATCATAATGTTGCACATTCGCTGCATTTGAGATTAAAGCAGCGGAGCAGTGCCCTGTGCTGCAGGGGCTTTGGGGTGTTTGCCTCTGCTGTGCTGGCAGCCACTGGCAGACGGCTCCAGCATTAAAATAGTCTTATGTTTATTGATGTCTTGACAAAGTCAAGCTATGTTCACTTAAATATCAGCGTTCCTCCAGMTGAATTAAATGCCTAGCATTTCCTCAAGGAATGTGTGTCGCCTGCCACCTTGGCAGAGTTTTGGATTATTTTATGCTGAGAAAAGATGCCGTCAGACATTCAACGTCATGCTRTGAAGCCATGAGATGTCATGCTGAAAGTACAGCRGGTAAAATAMKTATTGAACAAATGAAATTTTCACCAGATGTYGGTAACAACCCAAGTGATTCAAACRTACAAAGAAATCAAACCATAAATGTCCAGAAATGAAGTTATTTGTAATAATGTGGAATGGCACAGGGAAAAAGTATTGAACACACTTACTGAAATTTATCTAATACTTTGTACAAAAGCCTTTGTTGTCAATGACAGCTTCAAGACGCCTCCTGTATGGAGAAACTAGTGGCATGCATTGCTCAGGTGTGATTTTGGCCCATTCTTCCTCAAACAGTCTTCAAATCTTGAAGGTTTCGTGGACCTCTTCTATGAACTCTGATCTTTAGTTCTTTCCATAGATTTTCTGTTGGATTCAGGTC